GTTTGGGTGGGTGGCCTTCTGGAGAGCAGAGTAATGGGAGAGGACGTGAACTTCCTGTGGCCTGGTTCCCCCCCCCCCCGAAGAAGGGGGTGGGGTCTGAGCTGGGGGCCTAGGGTGCCGGGCCTGCTGGCCAGGGGTGGTGGTGGTGGGGGGGTCCCACGGAGGGCGAGACTGAGCAGAGTGACAGAAGGAAGTAAACTACCTTCGATGAGGCCCTTCTGTGCGCCTGGGCACCTTCCCAGCCCCCTGGCACCTTCCCGACCCCCCCCCTGGCATGGACATGTCGCCCTGGTGGGCTCTGCCTGGAAGTTGTTGGTATGGCAAGCCCGCTGCTGTTTAAATGATGTGTCTGTGTGTGTTTGGAGTGGCTCAGGGAGGGGGGGGTTAGAGGTGGGGGGACGGCAGAGCCCCACTTGGCGCCGCCGCTGCCCGAGAGTCCGCGCGTTGGGAGCTCCAGCTTCTACAGGACCCCAGAAGGGTGGGCGTTGGGGAGAGAAGGCCGAGAACCGAAGGGCCCCCCCGCCCGCGCCCCGGGCCGGCTGCCCCCTGTTAGCGGGAGGGAGAGCAGGAGCCGCCTCTCGCAGCCACTCTGCGCGCAGGGTGGGAGGGAGAGAGGGAGGCGAGGGGACGAGAGCGCCGGGCTCCCCGCCCCCATCCCACCCGGTTCCAATATTTCGCTGAAAGGCACGCGGCTCCTAATCGGTCCTTTCCAGGCTGAGATTTAGCCGCGCGATGCCCGCGCACGGGCGGGGGCCGCGGGCCGGGGGAGGCGCTCAGAGTCCGGAGCCGCCGAGCGAGGTGAGGAGCCCGCGTCCTCGGCTGGTGGAGCGGGCGGGCGGGCGCGCAAACCCGAGAGGCAGATATAGAAAGGGGGGCAGGTTAAAAATAACCCTCTCCGGCTGGGAAGCTCGCGCGCGCTCTCTCGCCTCGTTCGGTGCCAGAGGACTCCAGGGGAGGTGGCGTTGGGGAGGGCAGAGCGGGATTCCCCCTCCTCCGCTGCCGGGCGGGGTGCCCGCCTGCGCGCCGCGGCTGCACGTGTGCGGGGCCGCGCGCCCCGGCCCCCCTCAGCACCCGGCCGGTGGGCGCCCCCTCCCCAGGACCGGGCGCATCTGGCAGTGGCCCCCGCCCGCAGCCTTGCGTGGCTGGAGGGAAGCGCTCCATTATTCATTATTTACGAGCGTTAATAGGTTTGAGGCCAGGCGGGTGGGGGCTGGAGGCTAGGCGCAGAGGGGGCCCAGGCATTAGGGGAAGGGATGGGGAGCGAGGGGGAAGGGCAGGGGCGGGGACCGGGCTGCGGTGCCTGTCTGGAGGGAAAGGTCTCCACCTTGGGGCCTCCCCGGCAGTCTGGGCGCACCTCTCTGCCGGGTGCTGGGTCCAAGCGAGGTGCGGGGACGGAAGCTCGGGCCTTTGGTTTTTTGCCCCTCGGCCTCTGTCCTTCGCGTCCTCGCCCTTCCCGAGGCGTGGGGAGGGGGCTGTGGGCTGCACGCCCCGCCCTGCGCGCCCCTCGCCGCCGCCGCCGCGTCCCCGACGCAGCCCCGGCCTCATTTATCATCATCTTTGGTCAAGTGGAGTGTGCAAGGAACAGCTGCTTCACTCGGCTGACTTCCGAGGGAGGCTACAGCGGGAATCAGGGAGATGAATGATGGGGTCTGGGGGGGGTGCATAGCCCCCCGGGGTCTCCGCGCAGGCGGGAGGCAGTCGGCGAGCGTCCGGGGCCTCTGGCACCTCGTGGCGAGTACAGCGCCCCCTTCCTCTCCCGACGTTTCCAGTTACCTTGGATCAGGGACGGGGGCGCCCCAGGAGGGGACTGGGCGCGTGGTGGTGGTGGGGGGGCGCCCTTCGCTGGCGGAGGACGGACGGGCGGGCGCGCTGCTGGCGGAGCCCGAGGTCGCCGTGACCTTGCTGGGGTCAGCGGGTTGGGCTGCGGAGGAGGCGGCGCGGTGTCTTTGGTGGCGCTTTCCGGATTGGCGCAGAGGCGGGGGGAAACAAGGCGAGGGCGGGCGGGGGTGTGAGGGTGGTGGTGATGGTGGGGGGAACACAAATAGAAGGTGAAATTTTACCTGCCCCGGAGGGAGTCCTGCGGATTTTCTCCCGGCAGCGGCAGGCGCTCTGCCTTTGTCTTACACAGCTGAAACATCTGTTGCCGAGGGGCGGTGGGGTTGCAAACGGCCCCCACACACCCCGCGCCGCTCCCAGCCCCCCGCTTGGCCTTAGCAGGCTCCGCATTAACCCTGCCAGCGCTGGGCGCACGCCCCTGCCGCAGTCCGCGTCTCCGGTGGGGTGCTCCTGGACCTCAGTCCGGGAATGGGCCCTATGGTGGTGGTGGTGGGGGGGCGCCCGGTAGCCCTCCCTTTTCCTTGCCAAGGTGTCATGGCATCGATCGAGGGGGCGGTGGAGGAAAGGGTTAATGGCTTAGTCGCAGACCCTAATTGTCAGAGCCGGGCCCCGCTTCGTTTCAATTACCCTAAGTAGAGACTGAATGCGCAATTAACGAAGTCAGCTTGCCAACTGGAAAGCTGTCCCCGCTTTCACATTGAGCAGAATACTCCACCAGCTGACTTGGACCGAGCTATTTCCTCTCTCTCTCTTCTCTCTTCTCTCTCTCTCTCTCTCTCTCTCTCTCTCTCTCTCTCTCTCTCCCTCTCTCTCCCCTTCTCTCCCCCACCCCTTTCCAATCCCCTCCCTCTTTTTTCTCTCTCCTTAATAATAAAATTATACCAAGCAGTTCGCGGTGTGGCAGGCGGCCAGAAAAGCGTTTCTTTAAACGCCGCCGTCTCACAATTAGGCAGCAAGAGGATTTGACACGCCGTGGCGGCCTGACAGGCGGCTTCCTCCCCTGGGGGTTGGGAGGAGGGAGGGGGCACCAATTCCCCTGCTCCCCCAGGTGGAACCGGAGCTGGGGAGGGCTGGCACGCTGCTGCTGTGCCTCCCTGGCTGTCAGGATGCTGCAGCGAGGGGGTGTCGCAGGCAGCGAATGGAGGGGTAGTTCCACCCAAGCTGGGGGGAAGACAGCGCATTCCGTGACTGCTGTGGGAAACGGGCGGGGAGTTTAGGAGGAAGGCCCTGTTCTCTCTTTTGGGTTTGACTGACAGGCCAGCTACAGAGGAATTCGGCCCTGCTGGGCCTCCTGGATCAGACGCTGACCTTCTCTGGGCATCCATTAATCCCTCTGTGAAAAAAACAAGGGGAAAACTTGAAGATGGTGCTCTGCAGAAAGTGGCTTTCTCTGCTGGTCTTGGTGGCTGAGAGGAGTAAGGATCGCAGTGCATCTAAAACAAGCCCGGCACCTCTCTGTGACCTGGGCGACAGGCCAGGGTGCCCCCAAAGGCTCACAGGAGAGGGACAGCCAGGGAACTGCACCTAGGCAGCAGGTGACTGCCAGGGATCGGTGCCCTAAAGATAGAGGACAGTGACAAGTGGCCGCAGTAGCAGGAGCACCTGAGCTGGGGGGGGGGGAGGGTAGAGAATTTGGCAGAGGTGGGAGGTAACTGCGGTGACCCACTTGCTCTCTGCCACCTCCCAGCCATTTCGGGCTGTGGCTTCACCCCTCTTTTGAGTGGGTAAGTCCTCTGGCCTCTCCACAGTCCCTGGGTGTCACTCCATCTGGAAGCTGTGGACCATGTGTCCACCTCAGGAGAGCATGGGCATGCCGCATCTTCCTGTGCGTCCTCAGCGCCCAGCTGGGTCCCAGTCCAGACTCCACAAGCCAATGAGTCCAGGCGCGCGAGAGGGCCTCGGGGGAGAGAAGGCGCGGACACTTCCCCTTCCCTTCCTGGCTGGCTGGCTGTTGCATGTGTCCTGGCCTCCAGTCCCCTCATCAGACCTCTCTCTGGACCTCCTCCTGTGGCTGTGGTGAGGTAGCACAGAGGCGGACAGGTCCCCATGCATCCTAACAATATTTGATAGGCAGTAACTCTGGTGACCAGAACAGAAAGCCCCTGCCCTGATCAGTCGACATTCCAGAGAGGGAGGTGCGTGGGAAACAGCTCATTGTGGCATTAATTATGTAATTACCGCTGTGATGAGTGTCACCGAGGAGCTGGGGTGGGGGGACCCAGGAGAGTGGGGGGCGGGGCTCTGCCCTCCTCAGGTGCAGGGCACTCGCCTTGCTCCAATCCAGTGCTTAACTGGGTCCTCCTGGACCCCCCAGGGCCAGGTGACATTCTGGGTGCGGCGCCTGCTCTCATCCCTTTCCGTTGAGCACCCACTCAGTGCCCACACCCCCAGCGCAACCAGGCCTCTGCCTTCACTAGTGCTCAGGCCTGCAGCCCTCGCTCTGCATTCGACACCTGGGAGCTTGTGACCAGGTACATACAGCCTGCAGCCAAGTTCCCTTGTTACTCTGGAGGGTTTAAAAAGAAAATAAAAAGGGCAGGTGTGATGACCTTGGCACAAACCTGTAATCCCAACGATGGGGGAGGCTGAGGCAGAAGGATCGCAAGTTCCAGTCTAAACCTGGACAACTTAGGGAGGCCCTGTTTCGAAACGAAAAATAAAAGGGCTAGGGATGTAGGTTTGTGGTAGAGTGTCCCAGAGTGTCCCCTGCGCTCAGTCCCCAGTACCACAAAAGAAATATAAATAAATAAAGTTTTTTACATTTTTAAAATGAAAGACATCCCTTTTTTATAAATTCCTGATTTCTGGCTTAAAGGGAAAAAACAGGCCTTCTGGCACCTGGGTTCCATTCCACACGGGAAGCAATCGGCTGGGCTGATGGGGGGCTCCTTACACACACACACACACACACACACACACACACACACACCCCTGATTTGGCACCACGATCTCCAGCTCCCTGTGCCCACATCACTTAGGTGCACCCCCATCTCCAGAGTTGTTTTATCCCTCCACCCTGTTGCTTGCTCTGGGTTTTTTTTTTAATAGGGTTAATGTGACATTTGGAGCATGAATCATTCAATAAATATTGTTCTGGGCATTGGGGATATGACTGAACAAAATAGGTGAAAAATTCAACTTTCCTACTAAACAGGAGAGAGCAGTAATAAAGCAAGTTAAAGTTTATTATAAGGAGGTAGTAAATACTTTGGAGAAAAATATGGGGAAGGGGTATCATCTCAAGGAGGGCCACTGGAGACAGTGACAGATGCGCAGACTTAGAGCAGGGTTAGGGAGCTGCGTAGTTGTCTGAGAAAGGGATTCCCAGAAGAGAGAATAGCCCGTGCAAAGGCCCTGCGGCCCAGGAAGGGAAAAGGCTTGCCAAAGTCCGAAAAGTCAATCAGCATTCCCAGGAGCCCACTGACTCGGCTCCTCTGTCCTACCACTCCCCCAGGAAAAGTAAGTCATGGTCCCTCTGGGTACGTGGGCAGGGGACAAGCCTGAGGGTGAGTGAGGCGAGGATCTTTGGTCGTTTGCCTCAACCTCAAAGCTGCCAGCTGCACCCCCTTACCTATTGTGTGGCCTCTTGCCAGGGCAGGCACTGCCAGGGTTTGGGGTAAAGAGAAGAATGGCACAGACTGGGAGCCCCCTCTGGGTCCCCTGAGGCCCACTCTGGGCCTGCCCTTTGATCTTGCCGGTTCTGGGACCCGGTTCTGTTGGTGGCACCAGCCTGGCTGGGGGTGGGAAGGACCCTGGAGTGGGTGGGGCATCCGCATCCGAGCAGTCGGCTCCCTCTCCATACTTTTCTTCATTTTGACAGAGACGTGATGCTTTTTGTTCCGTGGTGAATAAAGTGATCTAAAAAAAAAAAAAAAGAAATTATTGTCCACAAGAGACTGATAAGTACAGAGCCCATGATAGGTGAGCGCTCCTCCTGCCAGTCTCTCCCGGGAGGGCCCTTGAGTGCCAGCAGCTGGGGCAGATCCCTCGCTGCTGCCCCTCACCTCCTGGACGGTGTGGGGGGGTGGCCTATGGCCCGGGACTCCCGTCTGTCCCTGGCTGCAACCTGGGAACACGCATCATGGCCCACGGGGTGCGGGGTGCAGCTTCAGAAGCCAGGGGCCCTCGGCACTGCACTGGAAGGGGGACTGGCCTTGGATGAGGCTGGCCTGGCCTCCACGTCCTCCTGGGTCAGACTCCTGGTGGACAGCCCAGGCAGATGTCTTGGTGGATCTCAGCCGCTGCTGAGCTGGGTCCTTGGAGGGACAGTGTGGGTGGGCTGTGGAGGTGGGGCAGGGGGCGTCCCAGACACCTGGAGAGTCCAGAAGTGTTCCCCTGGGAAAGGTTCCTCCCAAGAGTTCTGAGCCCCCACGTTTGCCAGGGGTCCCTCAGCTCAGCTCAGGAGCCCAGCTGTCACTGTGAGCTCTGGAGAGGGCTGTCCCTGTGTCATTTGCCTCTGGCCACTCAGGACCCCCAGGCTCTGCAGACGGAAGCACGCTGGGGCCCTGTGGGGTTTGCCCATGAGCCAGGGGACCTTAAATGAAGGTGGAGGGTCATGCTTTAGGGAGGGGGCTGTCTTGTCCTCGGGTGGCTTATGTTCCAGGAGGGTCCCCCTGGCCCAGCCGCCCTCACCTGTCCCAGAGGCCTCGGGGCACCCACTGTTGGCTCCTGAGTAAAGCCAGGCCCTTGGGACTCGGCCTAGACCCCTTCCCCAGGAGCAGCCAGTCTGGCTCAGGATCATCACGTCCATCCGGGCGTCCCGTCTTATATCACTCATCACCCACAACAGATGGGGAGACCCCAGGGGTTCCACCCGCCCCCCCTGGACACCCCCTCAGTCCCTCCCTGGCCTCCTTTCTCTCAGGCAAAACTTCCTTCTGTCCCCTCCTGATCAGGCTCCTCCTATGCCACAGCTGTGCCCATTTCCTGGACAGGGATCCAACCCCGGAGGCTAGAGAGGCCATGGACCCAGTGACCCCTGAGTCCAGCTGCCCAGAGGACAATGGTTGCCATGGTGCAGCAGGTGGTCAGTGGCCATCACTTCCCATTAGTGGACCTCCCTCTGGCTGCTGGAAGATGAGGGCCAGGTAGGCTGAGATGTGCCCCCCGACACTCCACTCAGCTCCAAAATGGGAATGCTTGGTGTGGGGTCCAGGCGAGGGGCCTGGTCACTCCTGCTGCGTCACTGGGGTCAGGGCCTAAGCAGGTCACTTGCCCCTCGGAAGCTCATGTTTTTCTGTAAAAGAGAGAACAGCCAAAGCGTGGGGGAGGGGACTGGTGCAGAGGAGTCACTCTGGCGGCTACCGGAGGTCCCCGCTGAGGTCCCAGGGTCTCTGAGGGGAGGGCCATGTCCCTGGCTCCCCCTGCTGCCAGGGCCTTTGAGGAACTGCTGGTCTCACCCTGGGGGGAGTCTGAGGTGAGAGTCTCATCCCTCCAGACACTATTTCATGGTGGCCTAGGTGGCTTTCTCAAGGGGTGAGATCTACTGCTGGGCAGGAGGGAAGACCTGGGACACTGCATTCGAGGGCTGGAGCCCCGGGCGCAGTTCTGGGCTGTGGGGTCTTGTGCTTCCGCCCCATCAAGCCCAGCAGGCCCCGCTTCCTTGTAAGGACGAGGTGCTCAGGAATCTCATGGTGAGAGGTATTCATTCGGGACTTGCTCTCCTCCTGACTTCCAAGCTCAGCAAGACCTGGAGAAGACGGGAACGCTGTGACTGTCCTGTGTCTACCACCAGAGATGTGAAGAGTTGTGCTCTGTGTGTGTGTGTGTGTGTGTCTGTGTGTGTGTGTGTGTGTGTGTAATACGAACTCTCACGCACTCTGCTGTCCTATGTAACAAATGAGAATTTAAAAATAAAATTAAAAAATAAAAAAGAACTGTAGAGAGGTGGCGAAGAGGCTAGTGGGTAGGGGACCACAGGGCAGGGTGCTTTGGACCAGGACTTGTGTGTGTGTGTGTGTGTGACCCTTTCTCCCTCCTGCCTAAGCCACGGTCTGTCCCCCTGGTGTCCTTTCCTAGTGCTCTTGAAAAGTAATCATAATCACAATAATTAATAACAACGGAGCCCAGGGCAGATCTTAAAGAGACAGTGCTCCCATTTTCTCCTGACCTAGGCCTCCAGGACCTCTCAGGGCTCTGAGAGGTGAGGCCTTTGTTCCTGCCTCCCTCCCTCCGATCCCGATCCCGGGGCTGGAGGGAGGTGTTGGGCGAGCATTTGGGTTGCATCCTCCATCAGGCACTGGGCCTCTCCTATTTTAATTGAACTGTCTCTTCTTAGAGATAGATGTTTCGCCACAATCCAGCTGCTCGGGTGCATTGGGAAACCCGCCTGTAATCCAGCTTGGCTAAATTAAAAGACGCAGCAGCTGGACTGATTAAACAGGGAGGGGTAGCTGTGGACAGAGAAAGTTGGGGAGGGGACGCGGGCGAATGGCACCTCCCACCCCCCCACCCCACCCCCACCCCTTTTTAAATAATGTTTCTGGTAATGCATTTTGGAGAATGTGAAAGGGAGGGAAAAAAAATAAAAAATAAAGCCGTAGAAATGTTAATGATATCCACAGGACAACTCAGCAGGAAATGAGAGTGATCTGGGACTAATAAAAGCCGAAATGTAATTTGTGCAGATATACGAGGGAGGTGCAGCCTTCACATCGGTCCTGGGTCTGTGCATTCTGGGCTCATAAACATGCGCCCGTGGAGGGCAGGGAGCGGCAGGCCCTTGGCCTCGCAGCCAGACCCTGAGCAGAGCCGGCCACCTGCAGCCCTTGGGCCTGGACAGTGCGGGAAGGTGCCCGCTGACCGCCCCCCCCACCTCCCCTTCCACCCTGGGCAGCTCTGTGGCAGTGTGGCTACGCCCTTCTCTGCAGAGATCCGGGCGGGAGGCACAGGACTGCCCACCTGGCTGGGAGCCACCAAGCCTGAACCAAGAGCTGCTCTGGGTTGGCACGTCCTAGAGCCTTTTATCCAAGCCGCCTGGGCTGGGCCTGAAGTGGGTCAGCAGGGCGGGCACACAGCTCCTTGCTCCGTACCTGTGGTGACTCCAGGGAGCGGGGGAGTAGAGGGCAAGGGGGCTTTGGTGGGGAGGGGCTCTCTTGGGAATGCTGGCCCCCCTGTGTGCAGCTGGGACTGGCCGTCTGACTCTGGCGGGGTAGGACAGATCCTCATGGGGCCCCCAGCATGGCTGGGTCACGCCTGAGTACCGCTAGCCACGTAGGAGGTGCTTTGGGCCAAGCTCCTGGGATAGAGGGACCTGAGACTGTGCCAGTGGGCTCCTGGGGGGGCGTCTGGTGGCCTTTTCAGCTGGATGGAAGTCCTCCTCTGTCCCCTTTCTTGGGTCAGTCCCCAGATCCCATACAAGAGGGGTTGGGGCTGGACCTCCCTTTTGGAAAATCGCCCCCCACCGCCCTGCGCATCTCTCTACGTCTTTCCTCTCACCCTATAGCTCCCCCCTTCTCACATCTGTTTATTCTGTGTCCCTCTTGCCCGGCCGCCTCTTTCCTTATTCCTTTCTTTTTTTTTTTTTTAATATTTTTTTAGTTGTCATGGATTTTTTACTTTAATGTGGTGCTGAGGATCGAACCCAGGGCCTCACACATGCCAGGCAAACGCTCTACCCCTGAGCCACAACCCCAGCCCTCTGTCCTGATTCCTTTCTGATCCCTCAAAACACTCTGGAATCTTTGGAGCCCAAGGCAGGCCATCCCCTCTTTTTTAGTGTTTAGTGGGAAGGAAAACTGGAAAGTCCCTGTCCCCTTCCTGGGGGCCTGGGCCACACAAGACAGGCAGAGGCCACTCTGGGCCTGCATCCATCATTGTGCTGGGTAAATCCCAAGCCCTTGGGATCAGGGCCTGTGGCTCGAGTTTCTCCTTTCCATCCTTCCCCCCCCCCTCCGCTTTGAGGGCCTTCTGGGGCCACCAGACCTGCCCGTCCACTGCGGGGAACCTTTAGCCCTAGACGCCCACGTCCAGCCCGTATTGTGAATCCTGCTGCTCTGCCCTCAGAGGTTCTTTGAGGATCATTTTCTAACCCAGGATCCTGCTCTAGGGTAGGTTAGACCCCTGCCTGGGCCCCAGCCCCTAAAATCATTACCAGATGGGCTGCTCCCCCGTGCCACCTGACCTGGGGAGGCCGGGAGGGGGCCCTGCCATTGAAGGACCAGGTCCCATCACCCCTGTGCCAAGGGTCTCAGCTCAGCTTCCCCGTCCCTCATCAGCATGCGCTCCCTTACCCTGGATCACGTAATCTGTTTATGCACCTATAATATCCCAAACAGGAGGCAGGTGCGGCTGTCCTACGTTCCTAGGAGTCAGAGGAGGGGACGTTTTACATCTACAGTGGCTCGGCAGCCCCCCCCCAGTTGACGTCTGCTAGAGAGAACAGACAGATTCCAGATGGCATGGCAGTGATAGGGGAGGTGTGTGTGTGAGAGTGTGTGTGTGTGTGTGTGTGTGTGTGTGCGCGCACGCCTTTGGCAAGCGGCCTCTCCCTGGCGGGGTGGGACAGATCCTCATGGGTCCCCAGCATGGCTGGGTCACGCTTGAGTACAGCCACCTAGGGACTAAGATTACAGGATCCAGAGAGCCCCAGGGGACGTGAGGAGCCGGAATTACTCTGCTAAATGATTTTGAGCTGTCTTGGAAGAGCTGGGAGTGGTGGTGGGTGGGGGCCGAGGGGAGGAGCCAGCCGGGTGACTTGGCTCAGGCAGCCCCCCGTTTTGCACCTCCCGCGCCCTGCGCCCGTGGTGGCCCTGTGGAAGTGGGGATTATGGAGCGCACCTCCTGGGTGCAGAGGTTGTCAATCTGCGCAGAGCTGGTGGGGAGACTCCAGGCCAGGCAGGGCTGCAGGGCGAGGCGGGGTGGGGGGAGGTGGCTGAGGGGGACCAGGACGTGGTGGCCCATCTGAATCGCTCTCCCTCTCGCCCCCCACCCCTCCCCTCCCTGTCTCCCTTTTCTCTTCCACAGATCGCCAGCCCGCGTCATGCAGTCTTTTCGAGAAAGGTGTGGTTTCCATGGCAAACAGCAGAGCTACCCACAGACCTCGCAGGAAGCGTCTCGCCTGGAGAATTACAGGCAGCCGAGTCAGGCCGGGCTGAGTTGTGACAGGCAGCGGCTGCTCGCCAAGGACTATTATAACCCGCAGCCTTACCCGGGCTACGAGGGTGGCGCCAGCACCCCCTCCAGCACCGCGGCCGCGGTGGCCGCCGAGAAGTACCACCGAGGTAGCAAGGCCCTGCCCTCCCAGCAGGCGCTGCAGGGGAGGCCGGCTTTCCCCGGCTATGGTGGCCTCCAGGACAGCAACCCCTACCCGGGACGCTACTCTGGGGAGGAGGGCCTGCAGGCCTGGGGGGCCCCCCAGCCGCCACCCCCTCAGCCACAGCCCCTGCCAGGAGGGGTGGGCAAGTACGAGGAGAACTTACTCAAAAAGACGGCCGTGCCCCCCGGCAGGCAGTACCCAGAGCAGGGTGCCCAGCTTCCCTTCCGGACTCACTCCCTGCCTGTCCAGCAGCCCCCGCCGCCACAGCTGCCCCAGCCCCAGCAGCCCCTGGCGTACCCCAAACTCCAAAGGCAGAAACTGCAGAACGACCTCGCCTCGCCCCTGCCCTTCCCCCAGGGGGGTCACTTCCCCCAGCACTCCCAGTCCTTCCCCACCTCGTCCACCTACTCCTCGTCCGTCCAGGGCAGCGGACAGGGGGCCCACTCCTATAAGAGTTGCACAGCACCATCGGCCCAGCCCCACGACAGGCCACTGACCGCCAACGCCAGCCTGGCCCCGGGACAGCGGGTCCAGAACCTTCACGCCTACCCGTCGGGCCGCCTCGGCTACGACCAGCCACAGCAGCCAGCACTTCAGAGCCGGCACCACGCCCAGGAGACCCTCCATTACCAAAACCTCGCCAAATACCAACACTACGGACAGCAAGGCCAGGGCTACTGCCAGCCGGACACGGCCGCCGTCAGGACCCCCGAGCAGTACTACCAGACCTTCAGCCCCAGCTCCAGCCACTCCCCGGCCCGCTCGGTGGGCCGCTCCCCTTCCTACAGCTCCACCCCGTCCCCGCTCATGCCAAACCTAGAGAACTTCCCCTACAACCAGCAGCCACTCAGCACCGGGGCCTTCCCCGCGGGCATCACCGACCACAGCCACTTCATGCCCCTGCTCAATCCCTCCCCGACAGACGCCGCCAGCTCCGTGGACACCCAGGCCAGCAACTGCAAGCCCCTGCAGAAGGACAAAATCCCCGAGAACCTGCTGTCAGACCTCAGCCTGCAGAGCCTCACGGCCCTGACCTCCCAGGTGGAGAACATATCCAACACGGTCCAGCAGCTTCTGCTGTCCAAGGCCGCCGTGCCGCAGA